TTTTATTGCCTGCTAACTTCCCCACTGAGTTTTTACCTCTTTAAATCATTTCACTTTGAAATGGATCAATGCACTAAAGCAGGGTTCCCAAAACCTCATGAAAAACAGCCCCTCTGATCCTCTGTTGATCCTTTAAAGTCGAAACCAGACGCTGCACAAGAGATGTATCAAGGTGGATTGAGTCGCTATTTGACAAATACAGTATGTGTGACATTCTTGCTTGATGCTTCCACTGATTTCAAAGGAACTGCTTCAAGCTTCAGTGACACTCCAACCAAAATCGTTTTTTTTTTTTTTACTCCTGAGGGCTACAGAGGTGCAGTAAAGACTTTTGTTTTCTGTTTCACAGTGACAGTGGTCAGCTTCAGATACACAACGGTAGGGTAAAAACATCATATTGCAATTATTGTGACATATATTGCTATAGCAATATGATTCACGATAAGTGTGGGAATGATCCTTTTTCCACCAAAAATCCAATTTTCACTGATCAAACTATTAAAATCATGATGATGTGACATTTGTCGGGGTCAGTACCAAACATCTTAAATCTGGAGAACAAGATTTGCAGACCTCTGCAGCACTACAGTACTTTATTATAATGCTGTTTTGTCTCACATTTAACCTTTATCAAGAATTGCAGCTGCACTGATTTGTGCACTAAGCCATGCAATTGTGATTGTATTGCTATTAATTATGCAGCCGTAACTTCATTGCAAAGTTGTCATGGAAAGATTTATCAAAATGTTAAGTGAATAAATACATTCACAGTATGTCTCAGTTTTTGTCCTTTATTGTTGTTTTTGTAAGATTAGTAGTGACATACGACATCTTTGAACTCCATTAGTCGAACTAAAGACTATTAACATGAAACATGACTTCATCACACCTTCTTGTTGTGGCTTTTTTAACAAGTATGCCTTTGTAAATCACAGACAATAATAATTCATAATTTATTTTCTTTACAGCGTACATACATAACTTTGTTAAAGCCCCACATGAGCGTGTTCATGTTTTTCTCAGCTTGTCTCTAAATTATATATAAAATTATAGTCTTAAAAACATCATGCTTTGAGGAAAACAGTAAACAAGACACAAGTTTTAACAACTAAACACTACAACAAGTTAAAAGCAAAATTACAATAAAAGTCTGGGTGAAGATCACAGCTTCCTAGTAGGGAGAAAAATAGTAAGACTAAGAGACTGAAAAACTATGTGGTGCTCCAACAGTCTGAAACAGCAGAAAAAAACAGGTGAAAAAAATACCACAGCCTGGCTCAACCTTTTTATTGGCTCTGCTGAGCTTAATCCCACAGTTATTACTATTAATTAGCATTTGATCAGTGAAAGAAAGGGGAAACATGTTGCTGTATGCAGCACTGACATTTTGTGGCTGTTGGAGTTGGAGTTCTAGTGCAGACTGAAAAAAATTATGAATGTTAACTCTGTTTTGACATTTGATAAAACTGTTTCATGTCTCTACTGCAGAGATAATATTTGTAATAGCCTAGTGGTATATATACACACAGGGCTATAGACCAATTTGAAGTGGAAATTACAGTTACGTCACTGCCGTGGGCATGCATTAAAGTTAGCAACAAGTTAACGCTAACATTACTGCAAAGCCTGTGAAATACATTGTGATATTGGGGTTTTAGTTGGCCAGTGTTAGCTAGCTAAGGTAGCAAAATTGTTATATATACACCTTTGCTATGTACAGACTTAAATCAACACCATTTGTCATTATATTAAGTTATTATCATGGATCACTTTAGCTGGTTAAGTCATTTAACGTTAGTGGGTGGGTTGCAGCTGGCTGGCTAACCTCTTAAATACCGACGGGCTGCATTTCCATGCATATAAATCTTTCTCTCTTATGTGTGATGGCATTTTTACAGGCTTTTTGGCAAGGGGCCTACTAAAGCTGAGTGTGCCCAATAGTAGCAGTCAAGATGAGATTGTAAACTTGTCATTGCTTTATTCATCTGTGGTGTCTCTGCTCCGCTGCCTTGCTTGGGTGGCAACGTAATGTTATCTGCTTTGTACAAAGTCAGCAGAAGCACACTGCTTCTTCTCAGATGCTTTGGTGTCATAGTTTTCTGCTTAGACTGGCTTTGTCCTCCATTGATGTAGTAAAAGCCGTAATCTATCCATGTTGGGTTTGGGAAGATCTTGAAAGAAAGCGCTTCAGACCGTTTTAAAATTGACCCGTGAAGACCTCTAGTAGTAAAAATTACCTGTGCATTTGTGCTCTTTACATACTAAACATTTTATTATGTCATCAGGTGATCTGCACCTATTGGCCTGAGCCTTTTGGATGCTGAGGAGCTTGAGCATCGTTACGATTCCCACTGTCCCACCTCCAACTTCAGTTCTAAAAATAAAAAAAAGCAAAAATAAATGAAAGGACATGGTGGTATGGCAAAATGTGAAATCAGATCGGATATCGCAGTCATAATAAAATGAACCAGTCACATCATGCATGATTTAACGTTGCAGTTGTTGCCAGCACAAGACAGTTAAAGCAGAAACTATTTTTCTATTTTAAGCTGCCAGTTTTCAGCAGCTGCACCCAAGATCAAGATAAGTGTTCATTTCTACAATGTCTGAGGCACCCCGCAGGCTGCAACATTGATGTCGTCAATGGCAGTATCATCATCAGACAACAAATGTCAAGAAAAGGAGAACTTTGTTTCAAGCATGAACCCATAGTTATCTACAGCAAGAATTGAGAAGTATTGTGTCAGATTTGCAAAAAGCATCAGGGTCTGGTTATTTTTCAACAAAACACCACCTGGCATTTATTAAGCCGATTTTGTGGATGGCAACACACATTGGAACAATTAAAAAAGCAGCAGAAGTCTGTCACTCTAATCCTGCTTCCAAATTCCAAGCAAACAAATGGTTGATATAATGCTGAGGGCAGAGTCCTGAATAAGACATTCAGGTTTTTGGTTTGTTGGACAATGGTGTCCCTATTTTATCTAGTTTTTTAATCTGCTGTACAGTAATCGAACATTGCCCTGAGATAATCAAATGAAACTGTTGTAAATGGGTGTAACATAAGGCCACAAACAACAATACTATGAGTTGAGATTCATGAAAAATATCAGGGACAGCAATATTGTTTTATCCATGCTGGTGGTCGTTGATTTACCCATGCTAGCCGGGCTAGCAGCATATTGCTAACAATGTTGGTTGGTCCACTGGTTGTGGTGCAGACTGAAATATTTTAAAACCTATTGGATGGATTGCCGTGCAAAGTTGTAGTTATCCATTGTGCCCAGAAGATGAAGCTTATTGACTTACTGTTCATAACCTGACTTTTCATCACATGCAACCATGAGGTTAAAGTTTGCACTTCTGTGTGAAATGTTGCTGCAGTAGATGCATGAAGTCGGCGAGCATTCTCATTGTAGGGCACTGCCATCAGCTGAGTCTAATAAGAAACACATTACATTAACATGGTCAGCAAACACTTAATGATCTATTACTAATAAAGAAAAACGTGAATATCAGAAGTTATACATTGTATTATTCACTGTATACCTGCACCACATTGCCATGACACAGTACAATATATTTTCCTACTTCAGGATGAGACTGAAAAGATTCAATCCCTGAACTGTGTTGACTGGACTTATCTTCTCCATGTCTTTGATCAGTCTGGGAGAAAGTAGAATTGCAGTTTTTCCACATGTTGCTATACCTACACACAGGAGTACTATAATCGATGTGAAAATTATCATAGATAAACCACCATGAGATATGTGGCTTATTAAACTCAGCAACCTCTGAACACTACATGTCTGTCTGCATATAAGAATAGTTATAACCCTAGGTGAAGAAAATGGACACCATTATTATGTATTGGTTAACGTACTATTGTACTTACTTACAATAGCCTGCCTGCTCACCAACCAGAGGCTGGTGGAGACAATTGGGGAAAAGGGCATTGTCATGCATGGGTGTGGACAACTACTGACCACTCCACTTGACCACAATCTCCTCCCCCGATGCTGAGGTTGATGCCAACCTGTAAATATCTATATATATATATATCAATATACAGTAAATATACAGTATATTAACACCTGGTGAGTCAGCACACATTGCCACCACCTATGGTCTCTGATGAGGTTATCCTGGTTTTGGTTCCACTACCAGTTGATGGTTGGGAAAAGGAGCTTGGCGTTTGCAGAGGGTTATCTCCAAGATCCATTTGACCTTGAACGCATCTATGAACTAAAGAAAAAAAAAAAGTAACATGATGTGATGACATAATTGCAATCTACTACTGGAACAAAAGCTGTCATTAAAATTTGGTCCCCTCTCATATTTAATATGTAACCAAACTATGAGCCTGTGAACAGAAGGGCAGAACAGAGTTGAAGGTTCACTGCTGGTATGTTGTTCACCATTGGCTGGGCCACTGATGGCAGCACAGCTCTGTTACACTTGCATGGTATTGCTATGCTATGCTAACAAGAATCTGACTAGATAAACCAGATTTTAGCCAACATTTTTCTTTTGGATTATTAGATTTCAGGCATTAAGTAAGAATGAATAGAAAATACATTGTATTGGTTGTTGCTATTCAATCATATTTTTTTCAATAGCATCTGAAGGGTAACTGCAGATTTGTAATGTAATAGTTATTGCACTTGATATAAATGGATTTGGTTCAATTCAGTATAAATATAGCTATAAAAATAGACACAAACATTCGGAAACTTTATCCTAAGGAGTCATGATAAAATGCATAACTGCATGTCCAACTAGAATATGAATAACTAGATAACGCTAGGTGTTTTTGCAGCTGGAAAACATTCTGGTCACAACCTAACAAATACTACTAAAACTACACTACTTCTAAACCAAAAAACAAACGTTTTCTCGTACTGAAATAATGACTGGAACTTCTACTGTAACATTTATGTTTGACGGTACAGAAACAAACGTTAACTCTGAGTATCCATGTTGTTACTTTTGTTCCACAGAAAGATGCATGCCGTCCTGTTGCTTGGCTTCTTTGTCCTCGCAGCGACAGATTACTTCCTTGGCTCTGCCCATATGATCCCCGATGACAGACTCTCCACCAACAGGGTTGTTGTATCTAATGCCTTGTCCCAAAGCCTTGAGATAGCCCCACCTCCTGTAGTTATTGTAGGTAAGTTAGTCAGTTGTTTTTATAATTTCTAATTTATGTTATTTATAATGTGTCATTTATAATGTTCCTGGTCATGTTTATATTACCCTGGCGATACTGGTGTTTTGTGACGACGAGACACAAATGCACAAGGCTGCAGACCATCTGACAGTCAAGGAATTTTTTGTTTTTGTTTTGTTTATTTGACAATTAATTTAAATCACTATTAACATGGCTGCAGCACCAATGTACATGCACAGTTAAAAGAGCAGTAAGAAAAACACAAGAAAGTCACAGGACTCATTGACATTGCAGTCCTTGTTGTGATTGAATAAGTAATTGCTTTTTTGAAAGGCCAAGACTATTAGAACCAAACCTGCACATGTTCAACCATAATACACAAAATGGAAGTTAGTAGTGAGCTAACTAGAGAAACTAATCTGTGGCAGGCAAACAACACCACAAATGTATTGATACAAAGTCAATCACAAAACAAGCATCTTTGTGAGATTTGGATTCTGTGCCCTCTTCTTCTGTGCACTATAGGACAGGCCTGTAGGATATTTTCAAACAGAATCTCTCCCATTGTGATCTAACACTGCTGTTGGGCAGAAATCTTGTTATTGTTATATTTTATTATTTTTATTGTTGTTTTGCCAATGCTATTGGTCACTCTTTGTATTTCCTGAAAAGTAATGGTTTTGCAGATAAAAGGTTTCTGCCCGACAGTGAGGCTAAGGCTTATTATTGTGTACGCTGATACATGCAGTATTATCTGCTGTTAAAGTTCTATATTTCCTAATTCTCTTTCAGAATTGCCTAAATCAGCAAAGAAGAACAAGAAAACGAAGAAACAAAAAAAGGTATGAACAAAATGATGGTGATGCTTGCAAAATTATTTGATAACACACAGTATGAGTAAATATGTCCCTTGAATAATCTCAACTCTGCCCATGCTTTTCATGGTCCTGATCATAGTCTTGACTGTGAGAATCTACTGAAAGCTTAGAAAAATCTTATGAGTGGACCTTTTGAGCTGATCTTGTCACACATACTGACTGATAATAACTTTATAAGGAGTTCGGTCTAGACCTGCTCTATTTGAAAAGTATCCTGAGATAACTTTTGTTATGAATTAGCGCTATACAAATAAAACTGAATTGAATTGAATTGAATTGAATTTAATCAGCGGGTCTGTTTGTTTTGGAGAGGAGGAGACCTCTGTG